CAGCTCTCAACTCCTGTTCCCTTGCAGAATTTCTACGACTAGAGGTGAGCAGGAGCGGATGACTGATTAAGATGAACACGCCTCGGTAGTTTCAACATGGTTTACTAGAAAAGCGCCTGAATACCTACTCTGGGATTGTTCTGGAATGTGGCGATGGCATGTGGGTGGCAAAAACGACGACACATGAAAATTTGTGTCTCAAGACTTTCGCATCAACCTATTATATCATGACCTTGTTGCCAGAATCGAATTCGGAAATAGTGTTACTTCAACAATGATGAAAAAGGTGATATAATGGATGGGAAGAGATAGAGGTAGGCCGGAACCTGATGTGGTGAAGGGAAGTTATAGAGATAGGATAACCTGATGTAAAACTCGTGGAAGAGTGCTAAGATCTCTTCTGTGCCCTCTCACCTAATGGTAAATTTCATATCAAGCTTTTGCAGGTTATTAGAATCTACCAAATCTAAGGAATAGGGAAGAAAGAGCATCCGGTCTAGAAACGTCAGCCACCTGCAGAAAGTTGAAATAAAATAGAAAAAAGCCCATCGAACTCCTGGCTAAAAAACCCCTTTATAGCTCTACTCTAGTATACTCCAAGTTGTTTCCCATCCCTAGTCGGGCTCCAAGTTTTAATTTAACAAAAGCAGAGCACAAATTAAGCCGTAAGTAAATGCAACAAATGACAAAACTGACGTGAGATGTAAGGTATTGTGTGTAACTCCACCACCGACACATTATATTATACGGCCCATTTTCGCCAGAGACTGTTGAAAGTGGTGACAAGGTCGGGCTTGTATTCTCGGATTCTGACGACATAGAGCGCGGAAGGTGTTTGCTGGTGCTCATCCAGGAATCAAAAGTGATGAGGATTCGATGAATTCCAGAATTTTCTGCCCCACTCCCACTCCTCTCTAGTGTGCATGTTGTCCCCGTTTGGGAACAAGAGTTTCTCAGTTTGTGGCTCAATAACCTTTACCCTTTTTTCGGGTGGTGTGTATGTTGGTTTGTTTACAGTTGCTATAAGCAAATTTATTGTAATGCACAAGAAGCCCGTATCGGCGGTGCAACGGGTGTTTCTCCCGGCCGATTCCAGGGTGACAAACAATGGGTTTATCAAAGGTCAAGGGGTAGCAAATAGTCTACATGGTTATCAATGGTTCTATGGGTGGCCAATAGAGTAAAAGGGGTTTTCAAAGGTTAAAGGGTCGTGCAGAGTGAGACACTCCGCGCGCCCTTTACACGTGAAGTATGGGCTTCAAACAAAAAAAAAGCAATCGTGGTTATTTTAAAAAATGCTTCAGCAAACATCAAGTTTTCATCGATTATAGCATGACGTAGACCGTTGTCGAATGGTGGTCTTCCATGTACGTTCCTTGCGCATCGAGAAGGGAGATCAGTAGGAAATGAAGCTTCACTGTTTTCTTCTTTCAATTGTAACTTTCGAATAAGCCCTAGTTGGGCGCAGAAGAAAGTTGTGCGGCATCCCCGAGAATTTGTCCCCGTTTGGGAACAAGAATTTCACAGCTGGTGGCTCGCTAGCCTTTACCCTTACCCTTTTGTTTGGGTGATGTGTATGTTACAGTGGCTTTGTGCAGATTTATTGAAAGCACAAAAAGCCCCGTATCGGCGGTGAAACGGGCATTTATACCCAGCCGATAGAGCCGCCTGAGTGACAAACAATGGGTTATCAAAGGTCAATGGGTGGCAAATAGTCTACATGCTTATCAATGATTCTATGGGTGGCAAATAGAGTAAAAGGAGCTATCAAAGGTGAAAGGGTCGCACAGAGCGAGACACATGGGTACAGGAACGGCTTCTTAAAATAAAATTGGACATGAGCGGTTCCTAGGTGTTGAACTCAGAACTTAAGGAGTCACTTTCGGCAACACCATGATCGTCAGTTATAGCGCATGGTAACTCGTATTGAGACGGTTCTCGTGTTTGAGTGGAGGGATCTTGTGCCTATTCCGACTAGGGGTGACTGCAGGTTCTCGAAAAGTTTTTGTGCAATAAAATTTGCATTGAGTATCTGCAGTGCAGCCGAACTGTATCAAATATGTCCCCATAATAGGAAAATTTTCTATGTGAAGGCCACCGGTGGGAAAAGAAGTAATGCACATAGAAAAGCTGTTCCATATAGGAGCATGCGATAAACAGAAAACATCGTCTAGTGGTAAGACGTAGAGCTGATGGTTTTGTTTTCTGGGCTGAGCCAAGTGACTAGAAATTAAGCATGGAAGAAGTATTGAAGCTACATGTGCCAAGTACGAGGAACCCATCCTTTCATATTGAACTGTCACCATAGTAATCACAGCACGAACCACTTTTTGAAGACTATCAAACAACTTTTTTCATCATGCCCTTTCCAACATGTCGTATTTCTCCTACCGTTCCTAACTGATCAACTGAACTGCTCATTCAACGAGTTGTCTGAACGAAAAAGGAAATTTGGGCGACATCTGGCGGAAGACACAGTCTTTTAAATTGCTTCTTCCAGAGGTGTTGCCTCATAAGGCCCTTCACCGTAACTTCTATTTCAATTACCTACAGAGCTTTCAATCTGCTTGGGTCCCTGAAACTGGGGTATGGGTACTTACGTGCGTCCGAGGATGCGCGCGGCAAATTGCGCGGCGAAGTGCGTGGTGATTCGAACGACCTTAGCACCTATCATTTTGGCCCAAACTCGAAGTAGAGCAGTTTAGTAAGGTCAGCTGATACTACTAATCTACTGTACTTCAAATTTGGGCCTCAATGATAGGCGCCAGAGTCGTTCGAATCTCCACGCACTTCGCCGCGCAGTTTGTCGCGCGCATCCTCGGACGCACGTGAGTTCCGTCCCCCCTGAAACTGAGATCCCCAACTTGTGAGAGGCGGGGTTCATGGTCCACGTGGCACATATCGATCGCTGGTCGACTAACAGTCGCCTTTGTTCGTACGTGAAAGTATTTATGATGACTGAAAGCCTTCATAAACGCTCCCATTCTTTTCAGTGCACTTTCAGGAGCATAACCCCAAGTGTCTTTTTACAAGCAACTATTACCTTATCGAAAAACTACACAAAGCTATTTGAAACCTTTGTGAAGCACCACCGCCATCCGAGATAGGTGATTGACGATTAATCAATACGCATCCAGTGTGTCAACCATGAAAGAAGGTAGGATGGCAGATAAGAAGACCGCTCATGGAGCACGACTTGAACAGCTGCCCTCTTGACTGTGTAAGAGAGCCGAAAACCTCGGAAAAGCAGCGAAAAGACCGCTTCCAAAGCTCACACCTGGCCCTGTGAATAAGAAAACACGAAACAAAAGGTAAATCTTGTCCCCATAAAGCCAGTATACCTTGATTATTCCTTGAGCAAGGTACTCCACTTATTTCTCTGCGTCGTTTCCATGGGTATTGTTCATGGTCAGCGCGCAGCAGAGTTTGCAAAATCCTTGTAACATCAATCGATATGCATCCGATTTTTACGGCTAATCTCGTAGACCGACCATGAACGGGAATGAATGACGATCCGTCAATTCATTTAGACTTCGAGGATGGTGATAAGACTATTTTTTNTTTTTTGCTCTATTAGCTCTCCATTCACATAGCCCTGTCATGTGTTTGATATCATTGTCTACAACTTTTCGGAAATTTCGGTGGATGAAGTAGCTCTGCATAGCGGCTTGTGACTTGTTAGTAGTCACTGATTCATCAAAAAGGTTCAAAATTCAAAAAGTTTCAGTAGTACATTAATTTTAGGGTTGACTAAAAAATGGATGGAATTGCCCACATCAGTTCCGGAGAAAACATCAAAACTAGCCTTAGACCGTATTCACCAACAAACCCTCTAACCCATATGGTTAAATGTACCCACGGTGGTCGATTCTATCTTAGCTGTGGACATCAGCACCCAAGATGACCTCATCATAAGACTGGTGGACGAGACCTCACCAGCCCGCCTCGAACGGTACACGTGGAACTAATTTCACTGCGTACGCACTGACATGCGTTGGCGCCTAATACGCAGGCAAGACGTCGTGGTTTCTGCTGGCGTTATCGTCGTGTTCACTTTTGAGAAGTGCAAACACATGCCTCAGTCCAATCCTCTGTTGTCCAGTCTCTGTCTGAGTATTGTCAGCTTTCCTCTTTCTGATCATTGCTATCGGTCTCTAGATTGTGGGTCCTCTCATTCAAAGGAGACTGGGTTGAAGTGGAAAACCTTCTATTCACGCTAATTTACGTGTCGTGTTCAGTCAGCTGATTACATTTGATTTTTCTTCGTATTACTTATCAAATCGCAGGGCTCTATATGCAAGATCGAACTGTTTCGCTAATTATTGAGAGTTTCCTGTATGGTGCTTCTTCTATTTTCACTTTGAGCGAGCATTTTCTTTCAGCAATCTCTTAAATCAGTTCTGATGAGAGCATGGGTAGTATACGGGGCTTTCAAGAACTTTTTTTACTGTTCTACTTAGACTCTTCGTTTGTTCGGGATTACCGATGGTATTTCAGCGTGCTTTCAGAATCGGCAATGTGCATGCCTTGCATGAACGTTTATGGTGCCGTGAAAAATGATTTTTTGCAGGGTTGCTTTGTTAAAAACAAATATAAGGCATGTCCTGGATTTGGGATTGGTTCTCTAGCGTGCTCAACTTCTTAGGTGAGTCTTTTCTTTTGTTGTGGTTTCAGCTGATCAGTGTCATTTCCTTATAAGTTGGGCTAAAATTCGGTCAGAACAAGTTACAACTCTGTTCTCTTAGCCTTCAACATCCATCCTTTCCTTCCATGAACATGAATATATGTTCTAGACCCCATTGATTGCAGTTTTAGAATGCCCTAGTTTATAGTATAGTTGCTTGAAGGAAGAGAAATCGCTCCGGCGAACCGGCTGACACCATGAATTGTGGGTGTAGCAGGTTCGAATTCACTCTGGCACTATAAACAATGATGTTTCAATGCGTTCTTGATACGCAATGCTGATAATCATACTAATTTATCCTTCAGGAGTCCACTAATCCAACCCCCATTGAGGGTGGGTAAATGGACCTTGAAGGATTAATAAGTAGGTTTATGAGCTTTGAGCTTACTTTCCAATCCTTTTCATGAGGCCTACAAATATACAAAAATTTTTACCGTCGTAAACGGAAGCAAGAACTAGGCATGACGAAAACTGATGATTTTGATTGTTTGATATGACGAAGTTTCAACTGTTAGGCTACAATCGTTCAAACTTTCGCTCTTTTGCCGCTTCTGCATACGCACAAAAGTCGTTTATTTTGATCTGTAAAAACCAGGATTAATTCCAACTTTTACGGTTTTAGGCACTTGACGACGTACCCCATAATTCTTCTCTGGGTTCTGTCTCAGTAACACATAATTCTATTTGATGCAATTGAAGTCGTCAAGTTAGCGTCCAGTTCTTTTTCCGTCATTTTTAAGTGTTACCATTTTTAGTGAGACCAATGCACTGCCGGGCTCCTCTTTCGCTCTCTTGCTTGCTACTCTTCCCTGCTGATGAAATTTCTGGTAGCCTCTACTATACCTTCTGATCTCGTGAGAACATTTCAACATTTCTCGGGACATGCAACGACATATTCCGAATTTTCAAGATAAATGATCAATTTCATTTATCTTAAAAGTTCGGAATATTTTGTTACATGGTTCATCGACCGACATCCTCTCTTGATTGTTGATCTTTGGTGTTTTCTTCTCCGTACCTATGCTTCAAATTGGTGACGTTTGAAGCTATTCTATTTATCATAGGCGCTCCGTTTCAAGCTCTGTTCGCTCAAGGCTACCATTCGTTCATGTAGGCGAAATTCCGCTCAGTTCACGTGCGCTTCATATTAACCGTCCAGGACTTGGCCCACCCACTCCACATTTTAATCACACAAAGCCAAATTCGGCAAAACTAACACACAGCAAAGCGTTTTGTAGTTGATAAAGATCCTTCATCGGAGAAAATTGCATAGAACTCGCTCTGAAAGGTACCGTTCCGGTAGCCAGTGGTATTCACCCGTATCAGGAGAAAGTTTGCTGAGTTGTGGTCATAAGTAGCTTAACCACAGATGCCTATAGCATCGTTTTAGGCCTTAGCAAGAAAAATGGAAAACTGGTGTTTCTGGGCTTGGACAATGCAGGGAAGACTACTCTTCTTCACATGTTAAAAGACGACAGAATGGCACAACATGTGCCCACCTTGCATCCAAGTGAGTGTTCTGTTTTGTTCCACTTATTAATGTTGGTCATTCTCATTTCATACGGGTGAATAATTGAGGACGCAAGAATAATGACACCAATTTCACATCGAAAATCAAAGCAATTTCAATTTCCAAATGGTTTCCCGCAATGCATTTTCATGGACGTGAGAGTTCCCCAAACAACTGGCACGAAACTCTTTTCAAAAGAAAGCTATTAGTCCCATGAATCCAACTAATTAATTGGGAATGGAGCTGTTCAAATTGTAAAGGAGCGCGAGGTTTAAAGATTCAGTCTATATCTCTTTTTAGCCGTCCTCAATTCTTGGATGAATAGCAGAAGGCACATTCTTTTTTGAAGGTATACGAAGGGTATAGTGACGTTTAGAAAATTCTTAAAGTTGCGAAGGTTGCAGACAAGTAGAAAAGTCCTTTCACATTGCTCTGGAACATTTGAGTATAAGGGTAGAAAAAAAGGCGACAGTAGTGCTTAATTGTATTCATTAGCGTTGCACACTTGTGCAAAATTTAGTCCTTCAATATCGCTGTGATACTTATTTCGGTATATCATTAATGTAGTAAGTCTTGTAAGTCACCGTAATGTAAGCTGATCGTTCTACTTGCTACCTCCTCGACTTTCATTGACTTCATTCAAGCTCCACCGAGTAAAGTCAAACTTTTCATTTCTTTTATTAACCCTCCATGTCACCGACCACGGGTGGTTTGCTGCGTCCACATCGTAGGATAATTAGGATAATGAGTTTCAACTAATAACGTCGTGAACACGAACGAAATTGAAATCCTGTTTTTGCCTTCAAACTAGCTGATTTTCAGCATCCGAGGAATTGACTTTGGGAGGCATACGGTTCACAACTTTCGACCTCGGCGGGCACGCTCAGGGTGAGTTATGTTTTTCCTCAGGTCTCATCTTTTTCAAATGCAGAGTTTCTTTCTTAGTTTTTTGCTTCATTTACTACGACATTGATGAGTGCTGTGAACGAAACCTTGCTGAACGTTTGCTAGGTCGTGATCAAGGATGATGAGCAACTTAGGATCTTTGCCTTCTTTGGGAATCAGTTGTAATGAGAAAAGTTAGAATTTCATCCACTTAGGACATATGTGGAGGTGGAATTTTTTTTCAGAAAAAGACGCGAGTTGGAGTCCGCTGTGGTATTTTGAATCCACATTCCTAATCCATTCTCTAGTTAGTCTCATTGGTAGGAATTGCAAAAAGAGAATATTGGCTTTTCAAGGTGATATCTATAATATCGTATACGCGTCAAGCGCTGATCTCAAATGTGCAGTCCAAATCGGCAAAACCGTTTTGGTAGCAAGGTTGCAAAAACTCCCTCGTTTCCCCCTAAGATGTGAATCCACAAGCTTAGCCCGCGCGGTGATGTGCAGTGAAAATGTCGCAGAGAGGGTATGGCTTGCACTGGTTACATTGAAGTTTGCCTCCTTGGTGTATATGTTTGTTCTAGCATAGAAAAGGGTTACTATATGGATATTAAATGAAAGATTGAGCGATTTTGACCAAAATGGTGTTCCTAAAGAAGTATTATCCTGACATTTCGCTATCCAAGGGTATGGCGGCTCCACTTCGGTCGAATGAAATTGCTAAAGTAGCGCATAGAAATGAATTCACGAAATCGTGGGTGGGCTTTCAAACTAAAAATTAGATTTGGAATCGGATTCCTTTAACAGTTTTATAACACCAAAACTGTGCGAAATGTCCTGCGAACCACTCTTGTTCAATCTCCCCTGCACGTCAAGCCTCTATGTATGTATGTGTATGCACGTACGATCTTGAAGAAGTCTGTACTCCTTCTGGGATCCTTCCTTGATTCTTTGATGGTAGCAACGACGCGTAAGCAACAATGTAGAGCAGGGGTTTGAAGGAAATACAATTTCATCATGTTCATTTCAGTGATGTTCGCTTCTATATTTTGCACTTATACATAATAAGAGTAAAACAGATTATTTTGTTCCTCCTTGTAGTGAGAAACGAAGTCGCGCTTTATCATGCATGTACAGCAAATTTCTTTCTATTAATATAAAACGGAGAAAGAAATTGAGACGGATAGTAAGGATTCATTTCGATCAATTTGTCCCCCCTGACCCAGTACTGTTTCTCGGTGCTATTTATAAACTGAGGGGCGGCTGCGAAATTCGCTGTGGGACCGCAATACCGTAACCCGCGCCGCGCTCATGTGCTTAGTTGCAGGTGGCCTAAATTTTAAAGTGAGATGAAAGCCACCAGGATGGGGAAAGGATGAAAGGAAAGGAGAGCAAGACACCCAACACCTTCCTTTGAATGTACAGAAAAGGGAAGGTGTTGGGTGAGGCTCTCCACTCGACTGATTGAGCCAAAGGCAGGTCTGTTATAAGAGCTCCTTTGAAGAAACTATTCACATTAAATTGGAATTTTAGGCATTGCGCCCTAGTTGAGAAATCGTTTGTGCATGTGCGGACAGATTCCTTCCTCTTAGGAGTTATCATTTATTTTGAATCTTCCTCTAAAGCAACTAGTGTGTGGGTTCTGCTACTAAGGGAGTCATCATCGAGTGCCTGTCACTGCTTATACCACATCACGACTTTTGCTTTGAAGTCCTTCATCAAACTAGCAGAAGTTTTCAGAACTTGAATACCTGTTTGTCGCCCTAACCACACTGATTATTACCCATTATTATAACCTGCAGCTGACACCCAACACCCTCCCTTTTCTGTACATTCCCCATCATGGTGGCTTTCATTTCACTTTTAAATTTAGGCCAGGTGCAACTAAGCACGGGCGTGGGTTACGGTATTGCGGTCCCACGACGAATTTGGCAGCCGCCCCTCTGTTTATAAATAGCACCCTGTTTCTCATCTGACGAGCAAGGAACTCGCGAGAATGGCGGAGTTGACGAGCTTTCTTTTCGGCGCGTTGTTTATAGCGCGATAATTTTTTTTTGCTGCACAGACCTATGTTGAAGTGTCAAGAGTGTCACTGTGCTTATGAAGGGCTCACCAGTTATAACAGCAGTACTTCCTTCGAATTCATCAATTCAGTTGCATTAGCTCAAATGTGGTCCGAAAATGATGACTTGAATCATGACCGAAGCAAAACGAGCTTGTGCATCAAGGGAGCAAACCACCATTGGAAGTTTCTGTCTGAAGGATGTTCAGATTTCGTACGGAAGTTGGAACAGTAATGATTAGCGCACCAGTACCCTTTATAGACTTGTGCAAGTGCACTTCGTCTTGCGATAATTCTATTGCTGATACAGTGTTTTGCCTCTATGATTTCATAATGGCATCAATTAATTAATAATTCGATTAATTAGTTGATTAAATCATAATGACTCGACAGAAGGAATTGGACAGAAATTAATAATCAATCAATTCGTAATGATTTCGCAGAGGAAACGGGGCGGATATGATCGTTTTGACTGATCATAATTAACTTTTAGCTCGTCGTGTCTGGAAAGACTACTTCCCTGCTGTAGATGCCATAGTGTTTCTGGTAGACTGTGCCGATGTTGAGCGTATTCCAGAGAGTAGAACTGAACTTGAGTCGCTCATAAGAGATGAACAGGTAGGACTCTATTTATAACCAAGTTGCGGTCGTGTAATGTTTATCTGCTCTATCGCGACTATGACCAAACGAGATCAAATTGTGAGGGTGGGAGCGTTCAGGTAGCAGGAGCTCCTATTTTGATTCTTGGAAACAAAATCGATAAATCGACTGCTCTGAGCGAGGAACAGTTGAAATGGCATCTTGGAATTCAACACATGTGTACGGGAAAAGGTAATTCCAGTTTTGTTTGTGAAGGTTCCTGGTTGAAATTTTAACAAATTTTCATCCGATTTTAGGCGAAGTGGCCCGCTCGGATTTGACATCGCGGCCGCTGGAAGTTTTTATGTGTTCTGTATTGCGACGACAGGGATATGGCGAAGGTTTCCGCTGGCTTTCGCAGTACCTCGATTGAGAGCGATTCATTGCTGTGTGTATTGACCTATATCATCATTTGTTAATTATTCGATCGAGTCCAAATTGAATTTTATGAGTATCGTTAGCGCACCATGCTCAGAATCGCGTCTTTTTTCTTGCTATGAATCCTTGCAATTATACAGCGCCCCTGTGATCGCCGCCGTGTATAATATTACATCCTTTTTATCACAAGAACCTTCTCTAAAATTACGTGGACTGTTAGTTTCGCTTAGTACTTAATTGTTCCTGTATCAACACCGCCCAATCATATGAAAGATTTCACCTTGATATCATCTTTTTCATTGTAGGCCTACACGAATTTTTAAGAAATGTATACTTTCGCCAAGTTTTCCCCTTCCCTCCTCTGTCGGTAACAAATTTTTCCATCAGTCTTAATATATAAAGAGAGTTCACTATAAGCAGTGATAAATATTTAACAACATGGGACACTAAACAGTAGATTTCATTTATGGATGGGATGAATACAAAAGCTAATCTTCAGATTTATCCTGGAAAAAATAATTGAAAACAATAAACTATGACAAAAAAGCAGTAGCTGTGAAACGATATATTTTGCTATGAAAAGGAAACAGGAAGGTGTATGAAATTATTTTTACAAAACAAAATAACCGGTAATGTGAAGCAATATTATGCTAAAATAACATTGACAACAACTCAAGCAAAGCTCATTCAGTCAACAAGGTCCACCTTGCGAAGATAAGACTTTCCACTGGGGAGCGATATTGTGTTCACCTTGCCAAACAGTTCATCCGCTTTGTCCGAAGGAACATTTGGTTGAACCATACATGACTCAGCCAAACCTTTCCAACCCTCGGGAGTCGCAACCTTCAAAAGAAAATGGTAGAATAACTTTCACTATCATTTTAATGGTGACAACGGCGTACCGGCAGACGATCAGCTAGCTGCATGGAGTCGATTATGCGCAGAATTTCACTGAAATAAGAAGTGAACAAAACTAATTTATAAACGTTCTCGAGTAACCGAAGGATTATAAATAATGTCTCGAACTATAGGCTACAAATTTCCAAGAAGTACCCTCAAAAACTGTTGCGCTCAAATCTGCACCATCTGGGTTGGCTCATGCGCTCACTTTTGATCTACTGTGCACCAGACACCCACTTGGGCGAGTTAGGGCATGCATTCTACCGACTCGGTGTGGTGACTTCTCCCCGAAAATCGCGTCGCGCTGGCCGCATCCGATGGCGCGCGCTATGAAGCGAACAGTTTGAATTTACGCTAGGAGGATACATGGGCTGTCGCGGAGCAACTGCCGCTAACCGTGGGAGTTCGGGGAAAAGTACCGCCAGCAACGATCCTGTTTATTAAAAAAAATGCAAAAACAGATATAAAGATCAAAAGCAACTTGGTCGCCACTAAAGGTTGGAAGAGAATTGTCATTTAAAAAATCTTTTTTCTTGCTCGGGCGAGTTTTTTCAGAATAGTCATAAGCCAAGCTATACTTTACTGCCGATAGGACAAGGGTCATTTAAAGTAATAGTTGAATTAAATTGAAGTAATGAATGTTAACACATACTCGAAGTTTCTCCCCGTTGTGGCTGGATAGAGTATCTGTGCACGAAGTTGCTTTTTGGGATCAATTATAAAAACAGCGCGAGCTGTGAGTGGCATTCCTTTGCTATCCATTTCCGCTGGATCAAGCATACCCAACGCTGTCGCCAGCGATCGATCCTCATCTGCGATTATTTCAAATGGGAAGCTCTCGCCTAAACGAAGCATTTGACTACTCATCTATATAGCTTCTGATTAAGCTCGAATGTAAGTATAAATGAGTAAGAGAAATATGAGCGACTGTGAACAATCTTTTGACAAGGATTGTCTATAGCTGAATACCTTACTGAGGAATTTTACACATATAAATACGATGTCGTCGTTATAACAACAAACCGTGCAGCAGACTGACGTGAACCTCAGAAAATAATCGCTGTGATCGCGTACAAAAAGGTTAAAACAAAAGCCGTAGTAGCAAAAGTTAATTCCTTCATTCGTGACAGGTGATCTATCGCAAGCCCAGCATCACAGAACCTATGAGCATGATCATTGCTCTTATTGTTAGACTTGGTCATGCGAACAATTATCAAAACTCATCTCAAAAAGATGTTATGCCATCTGTCCCTATTACAGGTTAAACACACGCCTAATGTTTTAATTTTTATGCTGACCACTAGGCGTAAGTGGTGTAGTGACAAGTGGCGCACTATCACAAGTGCATGGTCCCTGGTTCGAATCCGGAATCAATATACGCCAAGACCAACCGAACCTTCTACACCTACGGGGTCGGTTGACCGGTACTACGTATGAGAGAATAAAGGCACTGACTTGCTGATCGGCTGGGCGCCGCAAGTCATGGATGATCTATACACCCATTCAATACGCCACTACGATTCTGAATGGAAGTCGAGTGCGAGGCGTATCCTTGAGACAGGGTCGATTCACCCTCAAAAACTTTATTTTTTATACGTAATCACAAATTTCTTCGGCTGTTGCTCTCTGATAGGGCGCCTCGAATCAAGAAGTCATAACCCACATGGTTAAACGATCGTTGGGAACTCAAAAAGCTAGGCTAATGCTTAATCTGAGAAACCGAAACCAATGAGCATNATTGCTGTTCCTTTACTGGTCATTTTGGATCGTCAAATCGAGACCACCTTACCACAATGAAGAATATGAAAAGATCACAGTCTCCTTTTGAATGATACAAAATAAACCAAAAATAGATTGCACGCATCAAACGTACTCGTGATAACCGGAGTGTTCGCGTACGCTACGATATCGTTGATCCAGCCTCGATGCGACTCAGCTGAATCGCAACTTAATGCGATCATCTGTACATTCCTATCATGGAACTGTTCCGCCAGCTGAGCTGCTCGAGCCAGCTCAGTCGTGCAAACGGGTGTATAATCGGCTGGATGCGAGAACAAGATTGCCCAGCTGAAATTGAGGTTTATCAAGCGTTTCCAATTTCCCAGATTCCCACTCTTAGGTAAGGAACTGGAAATTTAGTTCTTGACTGCCTATCTAATCATGTTAGTTCTTGAACTTTTACTCGGCCGAGAGCTTGTTAGTCGAGGAACTAAACACACTCGTTTCCTGGGTCCGGGAACTTCTCCCCTAACACGGCGTCGCAGACTCCGCACCCGCCTCCTATCGCGGAATTGCGATGGAAGATTGGAGCGCGCAATTTGTGAGGTAGGGAGTCCTTTAATTATTTGAATTGGCTGGCCGCTCTTTTCAATTCCAATGCGGTCTTGATCGTCGTTTATGTAGGAGGGGTCATTCTAATTAATCAAGTCTAATAAACACTAAAACGAAAAAGAAACAGAAGAAAAAACGATTAAATCTAATAAAAAAGCAAGGCAATCAACGAAAAATTCCGCGTCCTATCGATTGGCGGGAGTACGGTAATTGCAGTGACATTTGCCGCAAGCCGCAAGGGAGAATGCCGCGATAAGGGAGAAGTTCCGTTACCCCTCGTTTCCTACAACATTAACTTTGCTCCTTCCGACCACCGTTCTTCAGTACCCTGCAGCGCTTCCTACAAGAAAAAAAAACTACTCAAAACCAGGATTGCAAAGAATGCAACCCTGCTTTTGAGTAGTTTTCTCAAGAACAATCTCAAGAACCGAAATGAAGTCCAGATACGGTCTACATTTCCTCTAAGCACCAGCCTTTCTTTTAGAAAGGAGAAAGCTAACCAGCTAACACACAGCCGCGAGAAGGCAGCGGTACTGCATACCTAACTCTTACGGTCGGTTTTGGGAACATACTATTATTTCGGAGGCAATTTTACAACGATCCAATACTTCAAAGAGCGAAAACACACCTGTTGTCACCCATCCACTCATGAAAGTTCTCAATCTTGCCGAGGTTTGTCGTAGCCGAAAAAGCAGGAAATGTTTCTCCAAGCTTCATAGCTCTGAAAGTCGGGAAATGGAAAAGTGTCAACATTTCGTTTGCATCGAAGTTAGAACAATATCCACGTTTACGATAGTTTGCGAAACAAATGGAACAACGATTCCGAATAAACCCGATTTCTATACCTAAACTAATTGACGAACAAAATGATCTAAGGATGAGAACTGAAAAAAGCAGCACAAATAAGAAAATGGCAACCATTTTCAACGCCAAGCGCTAATGTATCCTCTGTAAGTCAAAGTCTTTCGGCCAGTCCTTTGGAGTTAAGAGAAAGGCGCATGATGTCGTATGTATCAATTTGTTTGAAAAAGGCATTATACTTATAGAAAATTTCTGAATGAAACTGAGTTCACGCAAAAGAACCTTCACTCCAGCGAGTGATTACTGTTCGAGAAATAACCCGTTCAGAGAAGTTGGGAAAGGAGAAATCGCCACGTACAAGTAGTGTGCGAGTAAAATTATTTTAAACCATTTCGACTGCATGTATGTATGTATGTATCTCTTTTCTGGCGGAACAAATACCTTCATATTGGATTCTACCAGAGTTCCCAGTGGATAGCCCCCGGAAATTTGAAACTCTCGCAAGAACCCAGGTAAGCGAGAAAACGTGCAAAGGTGAAAAATGGGTCAATAATTGACAGGAAAGAAGCCCATCTATGGTGGGCGGGGCGCGCTCAAAGTAGGCGGAAGTTACCAAGTTACCACATGAATGTGTGAATCGATCCCATTGATACCCTAGGACCAGGAAAAAAACCGTAAAAATGGGGAAAGTCTGGAGTGTAGTGACTGAACAAAGCTTCGCCTACCAAGAGCAGAGCGTGCTCTTGATTAGATAGTGCTTTTCATAACAATTCACAATTTTGCTTAAGGACCCATTAGGGCCTACCATCCCCCTCCCCTCACCACGCATAGTTGGCCTTCTACTACTATCTTAGACTTGCGACAGGAGTGATTTGCAGACAATAGCTGACAGTAGACAATACGTTTAACACAATCAATGTAACCTCGTTAAGGATCTCAAAACAGTTCTCAACACGAAAGGGATTTTCAAGAGCCACGGATGTGCTAACTATCCAGTCGTGATGAGTTATTGACAGTGACAGTACACCTTTAATGATGGATGACGCTTGTCGCTTTAATAGACTCAAAAAAAGTTCAAGATGCATGGAAATCCTTGCATTTTGAATTCGGAATTCGTTCGGTATTGGGAAAATGGTTTTCAAGGTTTCGAGCAGGTCTCCTGAGGCTTCTAAAAATATTCGCTCAATGCCTAATTGGCTGACCGGAGAGCAAGAGAGCACGCGGACAAAAGGAAGTTCCCCGCAGTTAAGGGCTCTCTGTCGATCCAACTCAATATCCACTGATGAAATGAGCAGGAAAATGACTAAATAGGAACACTCAGTAGTATAAGGAGGAGATAGAAAACTAGACAGATAGGCTTCAAATAGAACTTTCGCGGAAATAGGTTCAGAGAAAAAAAACATTGAAGCTTGACGTTCTTCTAATCTAAAATTTTAGTTAAAAGAATTCTGGTGAAAATGTAGTTGGTGGGGTAGTTGCATGGGAGGTGGAGGAGGGGTGGGGCACATAACAGGGTTGGCTTAACAAAGAGTTAACACGGTGTTACGTGTTATTCCACGTTACACCAGGGACATGTAATTTTTTAATTAAGCCCTAGAGGAAGGGAGCACAGAATGGACGAGTTTTCAGCTTTTCGCACAAGATAATCATCTTACCCACGCCGGTCTCAGCAGAACTTGGCAAAATGCCACGAGCGGGACCTGTAGATTTAGTTAGTTTCCTGCACAAGAGCGCTCAGTTGGCCTATGCCCACTCTCCTCTTCGTCTCTAATACAAAGCTTGTATACACACAACAACACATAACGCTATAAATTTCTTATTTGTGCCCTCTTCTCTCCCGCCACCCCTCCCTAATTACGTTTTCATCAAAATTTTCATTAAAAATAAACAGAAAAATCATAAAATGAGCACATAGAAGTTGAACAAATAGAGGAATGTTATCAGAAAGCTCTACCAGCAGATTAAAACTTTGATTAAGGAGGAGCAAGCAAGAAATCCAGACTAAAAGGGAGTAAAAAACACAAATCAAACCAAGGACGAACAGGTGCACATACTATCTGTGCACGTCGTGCAGGAGCAGCATTGACCACACCCGGCTGCAGTTGTAGCCAACGTCCTTGCAGACAATCTCAGTAGACCAGCTTCGTATAGAAGTAACTATGCTGCCACTACCCTAAGCATGTACCACCCCACAGCTTGTGGCGAGTGATGTGCAGGCAATGTTGATCGCGCTGGTACAGGGACAGTCCCAAACACAACCACAACATGTCCCTTCGTGTTAATGAAACGTTCATTCTCACTTATACAAAACAAATGGCAGATATAACCCAACCACAACAAGTCCATCCACGTCAACGAAGGGCTATTCTCGTCAGCACGTGGTGTTCCCCGTTAGAAACAAGTTTGCACGAGTAAAAGGTATCGATGTCAACATGACAACTCAACGTGAACGTCATCGTGCATTCCCCACGCCGCTGCCCACCACATGGGTGGCCTGTCCAGCCCACACGCATTAATCAATAGTGTCTAGAAAGAATGGAAAACGCCTGGGTGATAACAAAGCAGTGTCCACGTGTTGTG